TAAGTCTCGTGGACTGTGTCAACATGAATATTGTATAAAAGCCAAACGGCTGCAGTACAACGAGTTTCATCCGTCCTCATCTGGTGAGATCGACCAACGAATCCATACAATCCAACCGGCTGCAGTACAACGAGTTTCATCCGTCCTCATCTGGTGAGATCGACCAACGAATCTTATGCAATTTCATTCGAAATGAAGGTCCCCCTAACAATGTTATCTCAGGAGATTCATCGAAACCAAGTTTCTCATTGCCATACGAAATGAAGGTCGCCCTAACAAAAAAAAGGGGATTCAGTGAATGGCTGTCCCCTTTCCACCATTATCGAAATGAAGGTATCCCTAACAATCTACGAGACCCTTCGACCCGCCTTCTTGAACGAAACGAAAGGTACGCCAGTATCAATCTATTAAGGGATTCTTCGAAACTCAGCTTCTCTTCATAGTCCGCAAGTAATCCTAGCTGAAATGATGAAGTGCATGTCTGTACGCCTGAAAGTCAGGTTATGAAACCACTATTCCGAACCTGTTAGTCTGGATTATTAATAAGAAGCCTGGCTGAAATTTCGTAGGCTTGCACGTCTGTTTTGGTTAATAAGCTTGACATGCCTGTTGAACGAGTGTGAATCTGGTTAGAACCCTCAATGAGTTAACTAGTTAAGTCGTATTCTTTTGTACGGCGATTCAACACCCTTTCTCTTTTTCAAGCTTTAAATCAAGCATAAGTAATTCATATTCAACTTTCCACAACCCTTCCTTACATTCAGCGTATCCTCTAATCTATTAATTTCAATAGCCTCTCTTATCTTGCGGCATATTTCCTAAGCAAACACAGAGATGAGCAAGCAACAACAAGATCAGCAAAATAAGACATTATATCAAGGAAATATTTTCAGCTTGAGGAAAATAAATCTCAAGGAAGCTACAGAGGAACAATCGAAAACCAAGAGATGTCTACAGTAAGCCTAACCGAAGAAAGTAGAACATTTATATTAGATGTTAGAGTATCTTGATTACGTTTGGAGAGGCGCCGCATGATATATAGTAAACCCCTGAACAATCCAATTTGTCTACCCTTTCATGTTGGGTTGGTATACTCGTGAAAAGTGTTGATTTCTCTTTCATGGCTACTTAAATATTCCATTTACTCAATATCGGCCGTAGTTTTTGAGTTAGTTCGCAGGAAGGTAGACATATCCACTTTAGTGAATCCTTCATTGTCCTTTCATAATCCCTGTTCTGCCATCGGCTTATCACGGCCCTTTAGTGAATCCTTCATTGTCCTTTCATAATCCATGTTCTGCTATCAGCTTTTCACGGGCCTTGAGAAATTGCGCCTGGAGTGAAATGCACACTTAAACTGGAACCGAGTGAAATCGGTCAACCAGAAAGATAAGGAATGGATCTACGAGACAATGAGGCGATCCGGATTGGAGGCCCGGGTCGGATCAGCTGATCGAAAGAGAGGGGGCAGGGGTAAATAGTAAGTGTGATGAGGCCACACTAGATTTGCCACAAAAGGGCACACATTTTGACGAGTGGAATGTAAACAAGTGAGAAGTTGTGATAGGGAGGCAATGGGATAAGAGGGTAAAGAGTAGATAGATAAGCCGGGACAGAAAGAGGAGTGATAGTGTAACCGTTTTCAGCAGAACGTTTGTCGAGGGATTGGCTTAACTTTTCTCGTTGACGAGTTCGTAGCTTGGTGCGAAGAATGGCAAAACTCACTGATGATGCTGGCGAAACGTTTGAAAATGTACCAAGTCCACTGTCTGATGCTGGTAGTCATGACAACTACTATGGCAGACGACTTTAGACTAAGCCCGTTCTACTAAGTCGCCTTGGCAACAAGACCAAGTTGCGACAACGAGGTCAACCGACTTCTATAAATCGAAAGGAGACTGCGACCATACCAGATGCCACAACGTCTTGGTCTTCATATCTTAATATTATGTAAGGATGAAAAGGGTCCTTAGGTTAAAGATGAGAATGAATATACTAACGCCTTTTATTATTAGGCTTAGTGAGAAATACTAGAACAGTTTAGATTAGCTATTGCTGAAAGAATTGACACAATAAATAACCTGATCAATTTGTGTTTCTGTATAGAAACTGCCAGATACGTCACCAGGACCATGAAAAGTGGGACAAGAACCGTCTGTCACAGTGGCAGTGCGCAACTCAGAAAAGGCCAACCGAGCGCCAGTTTCTGGGAAACGAAGTCGCCAGTCAAGCTCGTCTTCGATCGCGGGGTCGATAAGTTCAGGCAAATCTTTATCATCTAATGACGCTTTTCCAACTTTTTTTGGCTTTCCAGCCACCTCTTGTTGGAGGCGGTCTCGCACACATCGCTGCTTCACTTTAGCCTCGATATATAGAGCAGCCCGACGGGCAGCCAATCGCTTGCGAAGATCATCCCCTGCTGACCAGTTGCGGGTAAGTCGATTGACCAGGCTACATGCAAGTGTGAGGTAGTTAATGCGTGTAGATGGCGATCCTGACAAAATTAGGCTCGTCGAGACACGCTGAGATGCGTCCAAGAGCAAGAGGTCCAGAGCAAAACAGGTCAATCTGAAGGATAGAGTAGCAGATAGTTTCTTTTAAATGCAAGTTATTAGAAATAGTTACGATCCAAGCTCTTATATGATCCAAAAAGCTTACCAATAAAGACGTTGATACTACTGAAAACTGAAATAAAAAATACAAATACGCCTAAAAATTCACCGTAAATTATTTGATTACAACCAAGCCTAAAGATGACGCCAAGCCACAAATTACAGTTATCAGTACAGTTAAGCATGAATGGAAACGCAGGTCAATGAATCAACGTGTTATCACAATTCCTCATTTTAAGCCTAAGTAAATTAAGAATGACGACGCAGCAATTTTTATGGGAAAATAAACATAAATTCAACAGAAAAAGTATATTTAATAGAAACAAATGTTAATAAATGTTAAATTTTAAAATGCGTCAGTCAGTTAATTTCTTAAGAAAAGGCATAGGGTACAGAAATATGTCACGTATATCAAATCTATATCAGATTAGGATTACAATAACCTTTAGAAAATGAAGTTAAGGTGTTACTGATCAAAGTTATAATTAGGCTGTGCATGATAAGCATCTTATTTAGAAGGAAGGGGATCTGGAAGCCCTGGTTAAAGTGAGAAATTTAAATAAAATTGATGCTAAGAAAGAAGCTATAAAAAAACACTTTTCACAAAACACGGAAGCAAATTGAATATTAAAAATATTATATTATCAAATGTTAATACCACACGATTCCGAATAAAAATATAACTAAGATTCACACTATTCTCTGCTCTCGTTTTCTACAATGTCGCATAAGAGTGTGTCGCTACAAGTAGATTTAGTGAAGCGTAATCACATTAACCACCGGTTTCAGATACCATTTGCAGGGCTTCTGGGTAATGGCTTAACTTCATTCATTTAGCTCTCAATTTGCACTCTGCATGCCAATTCATCCCTGTTACAAATTAAAATCATTATCTGGCTGTCTCAAATTTAGCCTTCGATTCCTGTCTCCGTTTACATCATATTCGAGGATTTGGAGCTGATGCTGTCCATGCTTAGGCATCTTTCACTCCATATGCTTCAGACCCATGAACGAGTTATTCTCTTTCTCACTCCCACCCTCATTGTTTCCATTGTTTGGGGCCTTGTGCTCAGCCTAAATCGGATCCGATTGTGTGAAAATGCACCGCTTCCCTTTTC